ATTGGGGGACCATCCTTGATAAAATTGCGAACTACCTACAGCTAGCTCTGGTAGAACCGGGACTCTTGGAAAAAAGAAGGACCGGTCCTCGGGTGGAACTGGACCCCAAAAAGAAGTGGGGGGCGTTGGACCGGTTCTCGGGTAGAAGCAGACCCTAAAAAGAAGTGAGGGCATATGAATTGTAAAGGGTCCCTCAAGCCCGGGCGTTGAGGCCCGTCTTCTAAGAACAGGAAGGTCAGGCACAACGAAACAAACGTTTTGCAATAGGCAACTTTGACGATTTTCTGTGCTCGGACGAACCCACAAAAAAATCTTAGATTTTGAAAATCTATAGATGAGGTCGTGTTCTTTCCAGGAATAGTATTATAAGATTTTCAAAATTTCATTTAGACTGTGAAATAATCGTTGCGTCGATTCGACACATTTTTCATTTTTGCTACTCAGCCATGTGTGGGCCAAACTAAAAAAGTACTCCAAATTCAGTGAGTTTTCGTGCTCTGAAGAATGCATGAAAAAACCTGAAAATTGGAGTACTCGTAGATTTTTTTGTGATCTTCCCAGGAAAAATGCTCGATAAATTTTGAGAAATTATTCAAACTGTGAAATAGATCGCGGCCACAATTTGACCAATGTTTCAATTTTGCTATTCAACATCTCTCTCTCTCTCTCTCTCTCTCTCTCTCTCTCTCTCTCTCTCTCTCTCTCTCTCTCTCTCTCTTGTGTGTGCGCTCTTAGTCTCATTGCTTTGGCTACCTTAGGGCTGCATTCCTCGCGCCCACGCGGTAGAGAATAGTTGAATGTTCCATGGGCAGAGTGCCTTGTAGAGGTAGCATACATGGGTTTGAAAGAGTGGGGAGGGGGATATACATGGGTTTTAAAGATGGATGAAAGGGGGTTTGACTTCCAAGGGGCATATTTCGGTTTGATTTTTTATTTCCGAGTTTATAAGGAATTCTGTAGTGACATAAAACGCGGGCGTTAGGAAGTTATATTCGTTCGTCTAGTTGATGTAGCTCAGTGGTTAGAGCACCGGTTGGACATGCGCATTGTGGTATAAGTTTGCGGGTTCAAAACTCAATTGCCGCCTTGCGCATGGACACCGACAGTGCGTTAGAATGACGCACGGCTGGACACACACACCCTTGGGCTAACGCACGGTAAGCTTATACAGACACTGCTTGCGCACCACCCAAGGGGTTGTCCATAGTGTTGTATGTCGGGTCTTGATATTGCGTGGGTTGCTTGTGGTTGTTGCTCCTCGTTGTTCTATTGATCTCCATTGTCTGGCATATCACACATAGGGGTCGTTTGCAATTGTCGCTCAAATGGTAGAGTTTTCAGGTCACATGTCATAGATCACGGGTTCAAGTCGGGCTTGGGACTTTGGGGGGGGTTCTTGTCCAGCTTGGCATGTCATCTCTTCAAAATGAATACATAGTTCCCTCTACATAGTACTACATATATCTGGCCTTCGGGCACATATATACAGTTACACAGAGCACATATAACCTTTGGGCAAACACAAAAACATGGCCCTATGGGCCCATACAAAACATACATAGCCTCTGGCCACACACATACACACAACTACGATTCTGGGCGGGGGTGTCTATCAGGTATATGACGGGGTCTACGCATGCATGGCTTAGCTCTAGGGTAGGGTAGGGATATAAGTCGCTCCGGCTAGTCTTGAGTTCCGCCTAGCCTTGGGTAAGCTAGGGGAAGGACGGTAGGATGTGTGCGCGGGCGCTGGACTGCCTTGCTTAGGTAATCCTGCTGGGTAGACTCTCTGAATTGGGTCTGTTCGCAGCCCGTCAGGGGTGCGTTAGGCCTGGATCCCAGAGGACAAAATCGTGGAAAAGTCCTGGAAAAGATGGCCTGGAAAAACTTTTCCGGGAGTACATCGGAAGAAAATGACCGTCTGGAAACTCGATTGTGGGAGGTTCCGGCTGTTTTCGGAGACCCCACCGCGTCGGAAAGGTTGTCCGGAAAAGTGGAGTTCCGTGTTTTCACTTTCGTATCGTGGTGTCGTGGCGGCAAGCGAGCATCTTGCGCCGGAATTTTGTGCAATTTCGAGAGGGTATGGGGGGGGGCATCTCTCTCTTGGAAACTTCTTCTAGAAAGTGCTGGTCCAACCGTGGTCCGAGCCTGCACAGTCGGTAGACGGACTTTCTGTTGTCACCCACAGACGACTCCCCGCCAGGACGAAACCGATACCCGCACTATCGCTGAACAATGCCGCACCTCCGGACACCCACGAAGTGGTCTGTCGAAGCAGGGGCAGACATCCATGACCACCGCGCGGTCCATTTGCAGTTTCCAGACTTTCCAAGCTCATGGAAATTGCGTTTTCCAGCCTCTCCAGTGGGGTCCCACCTTTCCGTAGGCGAACTTTTCCAATCGGGTTTCCATGGAAACCTAAAGTTGGAAACATTTATGGGGTTTTTCCTGTGGGGTCCATGCCTTATTCCCCATTTGAGACATGGAGACATTTTTTCGTCGTCCTTCGTTATACCGGTCGTTCATTACGGGTCGTTTGGTCGTTGGAAGGCTCGAAAAATGCAAGAAGGTGCAGGTATGGCAGTTTGGGGGGTGGTGGCAGTTTGTTTGAAAAATGAGGGACCAGTAGCTGCCGGTTGGACCGCGCTTTGGGTTTTGGTCGAAATCGAAACGGTGGCAAAGCAGGGGCAAATGGAAAGGGCGCACGGGGTCGGGGGCAGGGGCTGAAAAGTCCGACGAAAGTGTGCAGGCTCAAAATCGAAACGGTGGCAAAGCAGGGGCAAATGGAAAAGGTGCGTGGGGCCGGGGGCAGGGGCTGCAAAGTCCGACGAAAGTGCGCAGTGTGTGTGTGTGTGTGTGTGTGTGTGTGTGTGTGTGTGTGTGTGTGTGTGTGTGTGTGTGTGTGTCTGTTTATCAATCAAGCATATACAAACTACGGGCTGCGCACCCGTGCCCTCACGGTAAGTCAATAGACGATTGCATGAGCCTGGCGTCCGAAGTTCCCGTACGACAAGGTTCGTCCGCTTCCGCTTCCATTACGGCTGGGAGGTTGGTCCAGGCCTGGTGCTTGTCACTGCTGTCTGGTCCAAGTTGCCCTCAATACTGGTAGGGTGATGGTCCTGAGTGTTGGTCACACCGAGGTAGGATAGTAGGGACAGGGGGTGCGATAAGAGTATTAACGTAGGGATGGGTAGGGTAGGTGGCCTATCCCGTCAGGAAAACCATTGGCTGCCGCCACCAGCAATTACCGCGGGTCTGGTCCTTGACCTCTACAACACCTNCTGTCTGACCATATGTACCTTCTGGACATGGACCATGTGGTCACAAAGAAGAAAAAGTGGGGGTTGGGTTTTATGTGAATTTAACAGTATGCCACCTGTCTCTTATACACATCTAGATGTGTATAAGAGACAGGGCCTATCCCGTCAGGAAAACCATTGGCTGCCGCCACCAGCAATTACCGCGGGTCTGGTCCTTGACCTCTACAACACCTTGGGCTTTAAAAAAAAAAAAAAAAAAAAAAAAAAAAAGGGCGTTCTATTCGTTCTATTCGTACAACAACGCCCAGGCGTTATTTTCGGGTGAAGACAGTAGTAGACGTAAGGTTAGTAGGCCGAGGGCACAGACCCAAGGGAAGGGACAGGTGTGGCTGGACGAAATCCCAGACCTCGGACTGAGATCGGACGGTCACAATCAGGCTCTTGAAGTCAACTTCTGGTAACAAGCATTCGATCGACCTAGACATCGTTTACCCTGAGAGGCCTGCCCCAAACGCGCCCCAAGCTCACGGTGGGCATGTTCGGACCCGTGAGTTCGAACTCTCAGGGGTAGACCCCACTGGCCGGCGGCTGGAAACTGGTGTTGGCCACAAAAAAACGGCCGACCGTGGTTGGAAAAAACTTGACGCATTTTGAAGGGACCCCACCGCAGACCGATAGTTTCGGCAGTGGAAAAGGCATGGCATACCCGAATAGGAAACCCCCGAAGGGCGTTTCCCGAAAAGGCAAGTCGGGCGGGTGCTGTGGACCATGGCCTGGTACCACACTGCTCTTGGGAATACCATGCGACACCATGGGGAAATACGAATGTCCACCATGGCCTCCGGGTACACAGAACGGTCCACGACGAGGGTGCATGGTCCACGCCGTGAAGCCCGCGTCTGGAAACTGATGGACATGCCCCCCCCCCTGCTCAACTGGCCGCCTCCTTGGAAAGGGTCTGAAAACTGGTAGGCGTCGAATTCCAGACCGCGAACCATGTAGAAACGCCCCGTCACCATTTCAGCAACCTCTTTCCAAGCGCAGTGGGGTCTGGAATTCCTTTCCGGGCTGGCTTTCCACACCGGTTTCCAGACCCAGTGGGGTCCGGAAAACTGGGTCTGGAAAACACCCCGGCGCCCAAACATTTCCAGGCCGCCGGCCAGTGGGGTCCACACCTCATTCCCAACAAAGAACGGCCGGGGCTAGGTCCCACTTGCACGAATTAAGAGATACTGACCGTAGATAGCAAAGATCGACGGCCGAAATCTCCTAATTTGCGCAAGTGGGACCTTGCCCCCGGTCGAGTTTGGACCGTCACTGGGCCTTTTCAAACTCTCTGAGCACGATATACGCACTTGGCGGGGCAGGCGGCAGAAGGAAAATGCTAGCGAACTTCCGACGGAAACAGGCGAGTAATTGGGGCTCTGACATGTGGCCTCTGACCATGGAGTGAACTGGAGCGGCGGGTTGAATTTCGAAAAAAGCGAACAGCATTTCCATTTCTGATTTGGGCGGGCCGTATCGGAAGCGCGCCACAGCGGGGGCCGCGCGTTCGATGTCATTCCCGCTTCTTTTCTGGCTGTGAAGGAGGGGAGGAAGCGCCGTACCATCATCGCGGGGGACGAACACAACCGGGGGCTAGGTCCCCCACTTGCACGAATTAAGAGACACTGACCGTAGATTAGCAAAGATCAACGGCCGAAATATCGTAATGTGCGCAAGTGGGACCTTGCCCCGGGCGCGTGTTGTATCTCCTTCCTGCTTCTGTTTCGCTGAGGTGAAGGATGCGCGGCAGTATCGTTTTGGAATGAACACGTGGTGGCCATAGCTGAATGCTCGGGAGGTCGGAGAAGGCAACCTCGCGTTCAAAGGGTGACTGTACCCAATTTGCTCGCTACATCGCGGCCAAGCCCACGAATTATATTTCCACCTCGTTTTGTGCAGGCAACTAGCGTCTCTACTGTCTATATCAAATCACCACCAAGAGAGGGAAGGAGAGAGGAGAGGGGAGGAGAGAGGAGAGGGGAGGGGAGACGAAAGGTAACCAAGCCATAGGCGCCTGTTTTCTTTCGAATACAACTTCTGAATGGGCCCGACGTGAGCGAGCGGCTCGGCATCGTTAATCAGAGTGCAAGGGCACGCGCGATTGATTAGCATGTCAACGGCAACATTATCGCGGAAGACGAAACTCCATACCTGACCAAGTGCTTGTGTGTGTGTATGTATTTGAGTGTGCGTTCGTGCTATATGTTGTGTGCGTGTGTGTAGGGGAGAGAGAGAGAGAGAGAGNAGAGAGAGAGGAGCTGGGGGCTGCAGGTGATACTAATGTATCTTCTTGAAAGGGAACTGCAGGCGGTGGTCATGTTGAGAGGAACAGTTTCCAAGGTTTTTTGCCTTGGTGAGGGCTCATATCTTGATTATCTTGCCGCTTTTCTGTGTATCGCTGTTGTTGCAGGAATTGCAATTTTCTCTATTGGCAACTGCCTCAACTTTATATCTTTTGGCTATGCCGCACAGGTAAGCACGCATCACAGATAATCCAACTCTGCAATTAATTGGATGAAAAGTGTACATGAATAGATAAGTAAAACATGCACCCGTGCACGCTACACGCGCATGCACACACACACATATATATGCAGCAGGACAACGTACCAACCCTCTGCGACCTTCGCCTTTGCACCGCTACAGACACTGTTACACTCAGCTACTTTCCCTTTTTCATTCTTTGTTTCTTTTCTATTCATCTCTCTTCCTTGTGTTTAACACCTCTCCCTTTACTCTGCCTCTTTCTCACAGCGTACAAGTGGGCCATTATGGCACACGGTGATGCGGGCAGCTTGCACTCAACTTCATCAACATGGCGAGCCTTGTACGTGAGAGGCACAATAAAAGGGGAGTTGAAAGAAGAATGAGAAAAATGAATAGTTTCAGTGTGCCCCTCATCTTTTTTTTTTTTTTTTTTTTTTTTTCAATCTTTACAGTTTGTTTCGCAAAGTGCGCTCTTTTAGTTCTTAGTTATGTGACAATATATTGGTGAACCTGTTTTTCCTGTTACTTTCTTCTCGTGGTGGCCACAGAACTCTTGCGGGAGAAGAAACGAATGTTGGACCGTTCCATCAGAGAGCTGGATCGGGAAAGAATGGGGCTTCAGCAGCAGGAGAAGAAACTCATAGGAGAGATAAGAAAAGCTGCCAAGCAAGGCCAGATTGTAAGGGAAAACTCAAAATCCACTCTTTAAATATGGTTTCGTTATTCTCTTCCCCATGAACCTTGCTGCCCTTTTCAATCAGATTCCCCCCATCCCTGTCTCTTATACACATCTAGATGTGTATAAGAGACAGGTTATAGAGTGGTGGGCCCATCGTTCAGGACTTCGCCTCGCGAGCGGCGAGTGATACGTGGCGTGCCGTCACCATGAGTTTCCTATTTGGCAAGAAGCAGACCCCGCAAGGTATGTGAAATCTTCACGCGCAGAAGAATATGTGGTTACAATAGTCTCCCCAGTTCTGTCCAGGCTGTCGGCCGCATGTATATGAATATATTCCTCAATCGTTCTCTCTCTCTCTCTCTCTGTGTCTGAAAGGCGCTCGATCTTAGGTAGCATCTGTCTGACCATATGTACCTTCTGGACATGGACCATGTGGTCACAAAGAAGAAAAAGTGGGGGTTGGGTTTTATGTGAATTTAACAGTATGCCACAGCCCGTTTTCCTTTTTTGTGTGTGGGTTATGCCTGTAGGATGGGCTCGCCGTTCGACTGGAAGCTGTCCAATGTCCCACAACAAAATCGTTGCCATACGAGAGGGGCGTTGTCCATTACACCTTTGTGATTTTTTTGTTGTAACAAGACATATGTTATTTTAGTATACGCTATGAGTTGGTGGTCGTCGGACGAAGCAGTCAGGCACAATCCCTTTCCATGTTGCGTTTACATGTACGCGTATGCACACATGCGCTTATGTACACATGCGCTTATGTACACATTTATATATCGTCACAAGCATATCAGAGCGCAAAAGCGAAAAAAAGGAAAAAGAAAGAAAGAAAGAAGGAAAGAAAACAGAAAAAAATGAATTCATGATTTAATCTTCTTCCTTATAACTCCCCCTGTTCAGAACCTCTTGCGTACAAGGCCGCCCACGTTATATATGTTAACGGTACTCACATGTGTACTTACATGCACAGGAAACAAGAACAAAGGAATAGAAATAAACGGAAAGAAGGGTGGCATGATTGGTTTCTTTTACCTCCTCTCTCTGTCTCTCTTTACTTGTTTTCTTTTCGCATATCCACTTTTCCTGTAGTACTAACATATATGTATGCAAATGTATATACGAGTCGGTGAAAATTCGGTCAAACAGTCTCGCCACAGCCTCTTAAAAAATTTGGTTCATTTCTCTCTCTCCGCAAACAGTCGACTCTTTTTGACTATATATATGTATGTATTGCCAAAGCACTACAGACTAAGATCGCGTGGGCGCGCGTGTACAAGAGCGAGTGAACGCGCGCGCGCGAGAGAGAGAGAGAGAGTATGCACGTATACCATACCGTCTTCATGTGTTGAAAATATGTTACTGTTCAGCATGAATTAACAACTCACTGAAGATATTGTTGCGGACAGTATGTATGCCGTGGGAGTAGTAGTCAGGGCATATACTGGCCGTACGGGCTCTCTATTCCCATCGAAATATGCTCAGCACGATGCTGATCGGTCTCCTGCGCATGTCGTTTTTTCGTTTGTGCGCGGCTGTGTTTGTGGGAGTGTTCGCATGCCCACGTATGTTCGCGTTTGTGTCTGCCTGCTTACTTGCGTGCATGTTTGTGTGGGTATGTGT